ATACAGTGGTAAAATCACATTTGCCAGGTGACCTACCCAAAGCACATACTGCTAAAGAAAAGTGGTTAGTGTGTTTGAAAATGGAAACAAATTTAAATTATTTAGTTTGCCTGGGGAAAACAGTGCTGATTTATGAGTGGTAGGTATAGAGTCTTTATAGACAATCTAAGTGATTTGCAGAAGTGTAGCCTTGCTTTCTTAGTTTAATTAGAAGAAAATGACAGAGTAGATTAAATTTATGATTTCTTCATATTCCCATTTAATCAGATTGTGAATTCGTGGCACTTTGCTCTGGAAAATGAACTTATTCTACCTATCTTCCAAAGCAATAAAATAGCTCTGTAATTAATAGACAGTTTGTTGTATTCGTCTGAATAAGAATTAATCAGAGGGGAAGGGGCCCCCGGGTGGCTCTGTTGGTTGAGTGTCCAGTACTTGATTTCAGCTCAGGTCGTGATCTCATAGTTTGTGTAGTGGAGCCCCATATTGGGCTCCATGCGGACAGTACGGAGTCTGCTCTGGATTCTCTCTCCCTCACTCCCTGCCCCTCCCCTCCTCTCAAAATAAGTAAATATTTAAAAAGGAATCAGAAGTGAAGCTAGAAACAGATTTTTTCCTCATACGCCTGAGTGGACCTTTACATAAAGATACAAATTCTCAACATATAGGTGGAACACAGGTAGCTTCCTTATGGCCCTCCATGCACCCCAGTGGGGAAGAAAGGACAGGGTACATAACCAAAGGACAGAAAATTATCTTTTCTCATCACTTCAAGAGGATACAGTTCATGCTGACAGCAGAGAAGAGAGTGGAAAAGACCAATCTGATATTCTGGAGGGTTTCAAAGATTTCAGATCTTTCCTCACCCTTTGGGAAGAGGGGCACCATATCTTGTCAGAAGCCTCAGCAAGCACAGCAGTGACAGCAGGAAGTATTGCTCAAGAAGTCATTCAACAAACATGTATGTGTTCTCTGTGTACTGCACTCTGCGAGATTTATGGGACACAGAGATCAACCTTCTACCATAGCAGAGATGCTTGTCTTGATGATGATGGACGTTGTCATAAAGAGAGAATCCAGGGAGAGAGCCTCTCATGGATAAGCACATGGCTGGACCCTAGACACATTATCTATCTTGTCACATTCAACAATTTCAAAAGTAAAGGCAAAACGTGGAACTTCTCAAACTCCTTCCTCCCTCCATATTAAGAAGTATGTTTCAAGTATGTTAAAAAGTATGCTTCTAACTCATCCTTTTTGGAAATCTATTGAATTTATTTGCCTTTAGATTGTCCTTCTAGGGATGAGAAAAGTTAGTTCTATTTCAAAGTAAGTTTAGCATTACTGTTCTTTATACGCCTTAGTGTGGAGAAGATAAATGGCAAATAAATGGCTGGACAGACAAAAGATTTTATTTAATTACCATGAAAAAATAGTCTTCACAAGGTTGGCAAAAAGTGTCTCAAATGAGGTTGGACTCTATTTTTATATACGTAGATCTTCATCTCTGAATCTTTCTATCATCTCTCTGTATGGTGGACCACATGCTACTGTTCAAAAGGTTGGGGGTCAGCACCTGTGTGGCTCAGTCGGTTAAGGGCCCGGCTCTTGATCTCAGTTCAGGTCATGATCTCACAGTTGGTGGGATCGACCCCCATGTTGGGCTTGCGCTGACAGCGCAGAGCCTGCATGGGATCCTCTCTCTCCCTCTCTCTCTGTCCCGAGCCCCACTCCCAAAATAAATAACTAAATTTTTTAAGAAAAGGTGGAATCCAGGAGAATTTGGTTCATTGTTTATGTTGCTTTTGCTATTGAAGAAAAGCAGTACATTCCTTAGCTCTTCTAGGCTGTAATTAGAAAGCTACCAGCTCCCTAATTCCTTCAAGAGATTGTATCACTGTCCTTAGCCTAGAATGTGAAATTCACGAGGCACATAGTATTCTGGGAAACAAACTGTGGATTCGTGTCACATACCTGGATTATGTAATTTAAGTATGCATTTTGAGGCAACAAAAATTGGTTGGAATCTCAGGGAAGAAATGGCTATTTACATTGAAATCTAGTTCTATTTGCCATTTTAAATATGGATGTGTAATTTATTAGTTCTTCTGACCCAGCGTTTTCCATTGAAGGCTGTTCTCATGAAACGACCCATTGAGAAAAGAAGGTCTCTGTGATTCTCAGTTGGAGATTCACAACATACATTGGCATTCTGAAGGCTCTGAGAAGGCACTCCATTCCCTTACACATTTGATCGTGGGAGCTTATTTTTTTATAAGACATTTGTTTTTCCTCAAATCCCCCCTAGTACTTGGAAACTGCATGTCTCAAGGGGCGAGGTGGGTTTTGTACCCAGAAAAGGCCCATGAAGCTGTCTCTGCCGTTGCCTAAGCATGTTTACCCACCGGGATGATGCATTTCTATTCTACGCGTAGCCTAAGTTTATTTCTTGAAGTCTGTCCACTGTAACAAATGTATTTGCTTAATTACATGGTTGTAATTCCTAGAATGAGTGTATGATTGTGTCTGAGCAACAGGTCATATGCACCTGTGTGCATTTTGTTTCCCTGCACACACATGCACAGACAAGTTCAGGCTACGTATCGATACGTAGAGCCTATCGCTCGATAATGAGGGGATTCTTGGCTACAGAAATAAAAATGAAAACGTTTTACAGTACATAGATGTCATAGTTTTGATACGGTGGGAAATGCGAGTGCTTCATCTTCTATTTAAATTAAAAATGTCCATAAAGCAAGAAATAAAGATGCACTCACATGTATTAAATTTTATAGACACCTTTCATGTACAATAGTTCTCTTCCAGGGGGAAGTTGATGCACTATGTGACTAAGTATGAAATTAGCCCTTCTACAAGTAGGCTAAGGAAGAAGCAGTGAAACACAATGAAACCACTTCCCCAGGTGACTTAACCACACAAACACATAATAAACGCATAATCTTCTTGCCATATATGAAGTGATTTTTGAGGCATATCACTACAGTCCATGTAATTCTGATGCAGAACTAGCCACTGTTTACACAGCCTGAATTAACCCAGCTGACATTTTCCCTGAATTATTCACCACTCTGCACATCAACAATAAGAATTTTTAAGCAGAAGTGAAAAACAAAAAAATCTACCCTTAAGTTGGTTTTTTTTTAACTGAAAATGCCCTTTAGGTACTGCATTTCACAACACTTTCACCTAAAGGTGCCCCTTGAAAACTTTTGTGAACAATTTTTAACATTTTACGTATTAACACCGAAGACAAGGAGTCTAAATGTCTATTTCCTATTTCATAAGGTGGCTTCGATACGAACATAGAAACACTATTATGAGAGGATTCTTGGAGGGGCTCGAATTCTTTGGGGGCACCTTCCTGTACATGCTACATGGAGAATTCTGAGCCTCCCAGGACCCCAGGTTTCCATGGGTTGGTGTATTTTCACAGGTGTCAATTGCGTCCTTTCTCCAGAGTGAGCATGTGGCACCAGTCATTCGTTCGCCCCACCTTCCATCCTTGAGTCTGCATGCATACACAGCGTGGTTCTTATTGTGGTTTTCACTTAATTCTCCTACATTAATTGGGAAAAATGAGTTGCGTTGGGAGCAGTGTTATAAGCTGACTTGTGAAATGAAACTCCCACATAGCATTTCGTGTCATCCTGCGTGGCGACCAGTGTCCCTAACGTGCGGGCCCATTGAGGGTGCTGCATGAAGTGGGATTCAGAAAGACCCTGCCTCGCTGACACTAACAACTCATTTGACCCATACATGGAATAAGCATGATCTCAAGGTTGCAGACTAAGTATATTTGCATCATCAACACACCGTTTTGACAAAACAACTCGTTTCTCCCGGACATGGTGGCATTTTTCTTCCCCACCTGGTTTTACTTTTCCCTGTTTGTTTTAACAGCCTTGTCTACGGCCTGAACATGCCCGATCTCGTCTGTTTTATCACCCTCTTCCTCTCAGCAAAAGTAGGAAGTAGGTTTGTCCCCAAGAAGAAACACTTCAGGGTTAATTCTTGATTCTTCTCAGCTCCCACAGATAGGTCTGGTTTTTAAGTCAATGAAAAGATTATTAGGGAATGGCCTTATGAAGGTACTAAAAAATTAGGGCAAAATTATATTAATTTATGATGGAGTCCAAAATTTCTAAGAGAGATTATTTTTATCCAGTTCATGAAGGGGGACAATTCATCACAAACTTCTTTTAAAAATCAAGATGAGCTCTCTGGTTACTTAGAAGCTATATTACTGTGGTTTTATGTGACTTCAGAAAGGTATTTCGGAACTCCTTGTCCCATATGCGTTTCTATCAATCAGCTTTGTTTTCTTTGTGCAAATATCTAGGCCAAGGCTTCTTGAGAATATAAAAGGGAAAAACAAAAAATGAAACATACAACCAATAGAAGAAGTCCAGAACTGAATTACTTTCCAAGTGAGCTCTACTTGTATTTTCTATCAGGGCACTAATGACATCCATCTGACCTCTCATGTTTCTCGTTGTTTGCCTGATGAGAAAAGTCACCAAGTTAGAACTTGCATTTAGGCATAGGAAAAAAAATGTCATTGGAGATTGGTTTAGATTCCACAAAGAGGAAGATTAAGCTCAGTCTTGCATAAGTCGCATTACAAATTGGATTCAGAGTCAAGAATAGTAGCAGGTGTTGGGCCTGGGTGGCTCAGTCCGTTGAGCGTCCAACTTTGGCTCAGGGCATGATCTCACAGTGTGTGAGATCGAGCCCCACCCAGGACTCACTGCTGTCAGCACAGAGCCCACTTTGGATCCTCTGTCCCCCTCTCTCTACCCCCGCCCTCCTTGCGCATGCTCTCTCTCTCAAAATAAACATTAAAAAAATTTTTTTAAAGAATAGTAACAGGTGTTGATTCGCGTGGAAGTTCCCGAGCTCACTCACAGAGGATCTTGCTAATAGAAACCAGCCCCCCATGTGTCCGTCTCTGAACTCTGCTCTCTTGTCTCTTTCCACAGAGCTACAGTGAACCTGTTGACGTTAAGACATCTCAGCCTCCTCAGTTGATCAACTCAAAGCCGTCGGTGTTCCATGGGCCCAGCCAGGCCCACTCAGCTCTGTACCTAAGTTCCCACTACCACCAACAACCAGGAATGAATCCTCACCTAACTGCCATGCATCCCAGTCTCCCGAGGAGCATAGCCCCCAAGCCGAGTAACCAAATGCCAGTGACTGTCTCTATAGCAAACATGGCCGTGTCCCCCCCACCTCCCCTCCAGATCAGTCCACCTCTTCACCAGCATCTCAACATGCAGCAGCCCCTTGGGAACCAGCTCCCCATGCAGGTCCAGTCTGCCTTACATTCACCGACCATGCAGCAGGTAGGCGCTCGCACCCTGGACTCACCTTGTTCAGAAGTGCTGGGGGCTGAGGTCTGTCCATCCGGCAAAAGGGATGGGGAACACGTGTGTTCTGTTCTGTTGAGTGGAGAGAAAATGGAACATATTCGACAAATATCTGGTTCCTGAAAAATATAAGTTACAGGAGGTGAGTTTAGGCAGCATTTTATGATCACAACGATGGATCACTGCTTCCTTTCATAATCACCCTGCCGGCTTCTTACCTCACGTCTAGAAATCACATTTTGAATCACATGCCTTGTTTTCTGCTCCTTGACATTTATAATTTTGAGATGCCAGTTACTATTAAAGATCTCTTTGGGATGGAGGATTCTACCTTTTAAAAAAAATTGTTTGTGGGGCTCCTTGGTGGCTCAAGTCAGTTAAGCGTCCGACTTTGGCTCAGGTCATGATCTCATGGTTTGTGGCTTCGAGCCCTGCGTTGGGCCCTATGCTGACAGCTCAGAGCCTGGAGCCTGCTTCAGATTCTGTGTCTCCCTCTCTCTCTGACCTTCCCCTGCTCATTCTCTCTCTCTCTCTCTCTTTCTCAGAAATAAATAAAACATTAAAAAATTGTTTTAAAAATTGTTTGGGAAGTTTTGATGGGTATGCCCATTGAGGCCAATGAATAATGCAAAATGAAATCAGACCCATCGTTTTTTGATGTTTGGAAATATCAAGTTGGTACAACCTTAAAAGTACCAAGAAATTAACATTTTAACCAGTGTTTTCTTTAAAAATGGGTATAAGGCTTCTGCATAAACTAGAAGACACAGGAAGTTTGGAAGCCTCTGGCCTGTATCCCAGTAATTGAAACCATTTGTGTGCAATCCTAGCTTACCTTTTCTTTGAAATCAAGTTTTCCTCTAGGATTTGGTTTCCTTTAGGTTTCCTCTAGGATAAAATTTTAAGATGAGAGTCAAATGGTACAAATGAAACTAAGCAGAAAGCATTCGAGAATCCTGAAAACTTGCTTTGAAAAATAGATCAAGGTAAAAACTACAAATCACATCAGATTCATCTAGCACTTTTATAAGCCAACGACTGTTGTTTCCAGAGAAATAATGAATTATGTGAACACAGACTTCCTATAGAATTGATATTGGAAATTAATATCTTTAGAATTGATTCCTCTGTGGAATTTGAATCTACATTTGGACCAGGGTGGGGTGGGGAAGAAGCAGAAAGAAAAATCAAATATATATCGCCCCAGATTATATATCTGGATTTCTGAGAGCTGACAATAGCAAATCTTAATATATTACATTATCTTACCTTTAATTTCACAAAATTTATAGTGCAGGAACTAGCATTGTCTTCATTTTATAAGCAAGGAAACTCAAGCTTGGCAGAGTTACGTAATATTCCCATAATGATGGTGCTAGAATTCAAGCCCAGTTCTGTTCAGAAATCACAGCCTGGATTCTTAAATACTCAGCCTGCTGCCTCTCACTCTTAATCATTCTTTTTTTCTTCTTTTTTTTTTCTTTTTTTTTTTTTAATTTATTTTTGAGAGAGAGAGAGAGAGCAGGAGCAGGGGAGGGATAGAGAGAGGGGGATCAGAGATCCGAAGCGGGCTCTGTCCTGACAGCAGAAAGCCCGATGCAGGGCTTGAACTCACAAACTGTGAGATCATGACCTGAGCCGGAGTCATAAGCTCAAGCGACTGGGCCACCCAGGTGCCCCTCACTCTAAATCATTCTTATAGACTATTACCAGTTTTGTATTAGAAAGCCTGTGTCTCCTAGGAATTTGGAGAGTCTTTAAATTCTAGTTCGGTCTAAGATTAAAATGACTATAGAGAGCAAATGGACTCATCTCTTTACTGAGGTCTTTCCTGGTCCCTAAGCCAAATGTATGGAGAAAGCTCTGATGTCTTATTAATTCATACTTAACCATCTAGTTGTTGATTCACTAGGGAAGAAGACAGGAAAAGCCAACTTCTAGTATCATACCTTGTCCACAGCGGTGTCTGTGACTGGCAAGTGACATTCATAGGGTCAGATTTCCATTCTTTCTATCCGCCACCACTCACAATAAAAGGGACACTCTTGGGTGCGTTGTAATGAACCAGCAGTGTATGCGTAAAGAATGAATAGTTTGAGGAACACAACCTTGCGTCCTTGGGTTGACTCCTGCCAAAGGTGCTCCCCGGCTGAGGGCCCACGTTCTGCTCATGACGCTCTAGCACAGGTCTGTTTCTTCTCAGAGAAAAACAATAGAGAAAGCACAGTCCCCTCCACCAAGTTGAGGGCTAAGCTCTGTCCAGAGAGGACACCTTTTTTTCTCATTTACCCGCTCAGTGATCGTTCCTTTTTCTGTTTACACAAACACCTTGGATGAGCTAGCTGTGATCCTGAGTAGTTTTCAAACATTTCAAAATGACATAAGGCCACATGTGAAAACTCAGGAGCTTTGTCTTTCTATATAGGATCGGACCTGAATAGGAAAAAATAGAACAGATTACTTTGGACACGCTATTCATCAATCTTTAAGTCAGTTCTATTAGTGTATCTCAAAAACTGTTCTTACTGAGATGGTAAGACCTGATTTCAATTTACATTCATAATAGAAGACAAAATGGCATGAACCCAAAATGGAGAGTAAATAGCTAAAAGACGACAGTGGCTGAGATCCCTTTTAGCAATGACTCGCTCATGGTAGGTGAAATAAAGCAATTGTTGAATGGGCAAATGAACAAAGGAGCAATTTAAAAAATGAGTAACGGAAGGGTTTAAATATTAGAAGAAAGTACAGGTTAGTGTGTAGAATCTCAGTTCTTTGGAAGCTTTATTTCATTTATTGAAAAAAAAGATTAATTGAACCCCTAACCCGTGCCAGGCACTGTCTAGGCTTTGGAAATCGAATGATAAGTGAGGACAGGTAGTGAGGCCTCTGTCCCCATGCAGCTGACATCAGAGTTGGGGGTGGCTGTGGTGCCGTGGTGATAATAAGATAAACAGAAAAATTGGGAAGATCCTGTGGGGAGAGAAAAACTGAACTGGAATTCAGGCGGCAGCGTGTGTGGACAAATAGCAGAGCCGTCAGCTGGAATGGGTAAGGACGGCCCCTGTCCAGGGCCCGCACAGACATACGAAGGCTGAGAAGAAGAAGCAGCCTTTCTGAATCAGACAGTGGCAAGTGTCGGGGAGAAAACCAGCAGAGGGCAGATCAGGGAAAGGAGGCTCAGAGCCTCTGGCTGGATGGACCCGCCTGAGGAGGAGCGTGGCTGGTCCAGGACACAGGAAGGAGGCCAGTGGGGAGCACGGTGACTTAGGGAGAGCCATGGGGTGGGTGAGTTCAGAGTCACAGGCAGGTAAATGGAATAGGATCTTCGGGTGAAGGAGACGAGCAGCCCCAACCACTTGACAATCCTAAAATCAGCACCAACAAGGATGTTACCCTTGATGTCACTCAATCGATTACAATCACAACAGTCTATCGAGGCCAGGGTTCAAGTTCGCAAAGTTGGTCTTTAGCCTGCACTTGTAGAACCAGGTTGTGGATGAAATTCGACTGGTTCAAATCACCAGCCAAACCACCTTTATCCTGAAGATATTTGCTTCCTGGGTGTCGGGGCCATGCTCACATACTCAAACATGGAAAAAAAAGAAAAAAGAAAAAGAGAGAAAGAGAAAGCAAGTTAATGGCTACCGTACTTTTAATATAATCTCATATTTCAGTATTACTTTCTCTATTTTTAATATCCTTCTGAAAATGAATATATCCTACAAAAACAATTGTAGAGTCCACCAGGAAAAAATAGTTTCTTTTTTTTTTCTAGAATAACATCTTATACACCAAGCCCATGGACCTGCTTTTTTTCCTTTCTTTTTTTTTTGGTCCAGTTTTCTTCCTTTTTTTTTTTTTTTTTTNCTAGAATAACATCTTATACACCAAGCCCATGGACCTGCTTTTTTTCCTTTCTTTTTTTTTTGGTCCAGTTTTCTTCCTTTTTTTTTTTTTTTTTTCCTGTTCACTGTATTGTCGAATGAGGTCACGAGAAAAAAAATCATTAATATCTGTCAACTTCCTTTATAACCTTAAGAAAAAAATCTTTGTATGATATCACACAGACAGATTTTCAATTTCCTCGTGTAATAAACAGCTGCTTTAGGATTTGGGTGTAATTTAAAGGTTTAAAAAACTCACATTGAGATTGATGAATAAATCAGTTGTGAAGACAAAAACATTGATGCCTGTTGAAAATACCTCTCCAGACAGGCAGGAAATGAAATTAGTTCCCAGTAAAATGTGGCTGTGAGGATCACTGTTCGGTTGTGATACAGGCTTTTTAGGACTTGCTTTGGGGGCAAATCAAAACCACTAGGGCTACAGAAATCTAATTAAAGAGCAAATGTCCCTTCTGACATCAAATCAATCTTTATCACGTTTTCTATTTTTATTTCAATCTGGCACCAGAAAATGAAATTTAAAATTCCAGGCATGCTACAAAACACTTGGTGATTTTTCTCTTGAGCATTAAAATGCAGAATATTCAGCCTTGTTTAATTCGACCGCTAAGCAAACATTTTCCAAAAATGTATATCATCATTGTTGTTTCATATTTACATCAATAGGGAAAACATACTTAGCTCTAGGTTCAACCTCAGCATGTCTTTATAGAGTGTTCAAAGGAATGTTTCATTTCCCAAATCGAGAGCAAGTTAAATAATGGTACTTCAGACTCTGCCTGTATTCTTCTTGATCCTTGGTTGTTTTGAGATTACTGATCTTCTTAAATTGAGGCATTGAAGTTGGCCGACCTAGAAATCTTTGAACGTCGTAGATAACACATACTTAGGGCTTTATAAACTGAAGTTATACTTAACTTAATACTAATAGCCCAAAGAGTAATGTTCTCCTGATATTCTCTCACTCAACCTTGAGGAACCATTCTCATTGGATGGGGTAAAGGTAGGGGTGGATTCTGTTGTTGATCGTGTAGGCTTAGGTGGAAGGGAGTTGGCTTGTTTCTGTTTTTTGCTCTCTCCTTATGTTTCCATACCTTCAACTAACTCAAGATGTATTCAATCACTCTTTTTTTGACACCTGTTTACTTTTAGGTTATGTTTTGTCGATTGTGCAAAAATCCAGTATGGAGAACTTTACATTAAAATGATAGGAAAGCCACTGGCATTTACGCATTTATATACCCCTGTGCCTTCCCAATGGTGGTCTGTGTTAAAGTTTATCTATTGGCGGGGCGCCTGGGTGGCTCAAGTCAGTTAAGCATCGGACTTCAGCTCAGGTCATGATCTCACGGTTCGTGGGTTCGAGCCCCGTGTCGGGCTCTGTGCTGACAGCTCAGAGCCTGGAGCCTGTCTTCGGATTCTGTGTCTCCCTCTCTCTCTGACCCTCCCCTGCTCACGCCGTCTCTATCTCTCTCTCAAAAATAAATAAAACATTTAAAAAATAATAAAGTTTATTTACTGGAAAAGACGATTTGTTGAGCCACTGCTATAGACCAGGCCCTGAGAATATCAAGTAAGCAGTATAAACACCCTCCGATCTCAAGTGCCCATAGGCAGAGCCCTTATGAGAAGCGCTAAAATGGAAGTCCATACAAGCCTCCTCTCTCTAGAGGGTTTGTCCAGTATCATACTAGACGCTAAGGAAATAAGTCAAGAAAGCCGGATGCTCACCCCCAGAAAGACACAATTATCTGACCACAATGCAACGAATACATTTAATCAAAGCCAATGGGATTCCTTGTGTGAGAGATCTAGCAAGGTCTGGACCAAGAAAGGAAAAAAGCCTGGAAAGGACTGGGGAACCAAACACCCAGTTGTGCCTCTTACTTTTCACCTTCCTATTTTGGAAAATGTGTATAGTTTGAGCTGCAGGTGGCATCCACGCAAACCTACTTATTTTCCACAAACCAGTTGTTAGATGAGAAAATATTCTGTTCCTTTTAGTCTGTGTGAGGTTGAGTAGTCTGGCTGGCTGAATTCTCTGCTTTTTAAGGATGTGTCTCTCATCATGTAAAGGATTGTCTTTCATCTGGGGCCGTGGTGGGACTTAGTGTGGACATTGGCTTGAGGTCTCTATCATTGGAATGGAAAATAAGTTATTATCTTAAAGCCAAAATGGAGAATTGAAGATATTTGGTAATAGGTACTTTGAGTGTTTAGCCAAGACACTGAAACATGAATCAAAGCCTAAGGAAATATCCTTCGTTAAAAATCGATCCTCTGATCATTCTGCTGAGTTAAAAAAAGAAAAAGTTAAAAACTCAATATTATGCCTTCCGAAGCTCCCTGCAAGTAAATAGGGAATGATTCATTTTTAAATCTCTTGATTTTTCAGTGGTTAAAAGCCATGTATGATATCTTCAGCAGAAAGAGACAACCACAAGATTAATTAAGTTGCTTTTTTTGGTCATTTCCAGCAAAGCTTGCTTTGCTGCTCTTGAATTCACCAGATAAGCTAAAAATAAATCTTAGTGTATAATGCTCTTTGTTTACCAGATATAGCTATATACTTCAGAGAGTCTGTCCTTGAATTTGTAATAGCTTTGCAAGGATTAAAAGTCAACACTTCCCCATACCAGTGTATGAAAAAGAAGCTTCCCGAAGTCTGATTGTTATTTGCCAGTTAATAGACTTTTCAATTAAAAAATATTTGCTCGGTCTTACTTTTCCTTCTCTGTGTTTTCCAGTGGCGAGTTGCTTTGAATCTCTTTCCTTACATCAGTCCAACAACTGTTAAAAAGCTTTGGTTGAAATTTTTTAGCTGAGAAAGAAGTACAAATAAAAGAAGAAGCAGATGGTCCCTTTGTGACTGAATGAAGAAAACGGGTTTTGAGAACAATATGTGAATAGGTGTAGTCTAATAAAACACTCAGCCACCTGCTGCCTGAATCCTTCAAAGGAGATTCTGTTGCATATTCTGGGAATTAACTATTAATGTAGCCGTGGGTTTGACAGAAAACAAACTGAGGGGTTAGGTCCTCTTTGCTTTGTTTTGATTAAGTTGGCTTCTCCATATTTTAATTTGTTTCTCGATTCAATGTATCTGCTCAAGAGTATAATTAAAGGTTTCCTAGCACGTGGTTAAATGAAGGAAAGGTAAGAAGAATAGGGTTGGGGGCACTTCTTTTCTACCTTTGTCTTAATTTTTCGGGGCCCCCTGCATACATTTGCCCTCGCAGACACCAGCAAGAAGGCACTAGTGTGTTTGCAAACAATGGATAAATATTTAGGGCTCTTTCTTCTCAAAACGGCACTTTGATCCTGATTTGTGGACTTGCTTTCCCTTTCAGGGATTTACTCTTCAACCCGACTATCAGACTATAATCAATCCTACATCCACAGCTGCACAAGTGGTCACCCAAGCAATGGAGTATGTGCGTTCTGGGTGCAGAAACCCTCCCGCCCAGCCGGTGGACTGGAATAACGACTACTGTAGTAGTGGGTAAGTGGCGGGCCATCGCCACCTGGTGGCGGCCCTCATAGCGGGCTCGGCGTCCCCTGCGCTGTCGTAGATGGCAAAATCCATCATTCTTCCTGCCTTCTAAAAGCTGGTCTGGAACGGTTGCATGTTGGTGGAAGCAGAAAACAGCCACCCGTTTTGAAGCGACTCTGGCTGTTCCAAGCGTAAATGCCTTTGGGTCCCTGTTCCGTTTAACCGCGCACGTCCCCAGTGCCCGGCTCCATCCCTCGAGCTAGAACAAACACAGATTCGCGCCCCCGCCCCCCGCCCCCCGGGGTCACCTTGGCACGTGTCTTCTAATAGGCCGCCGTTTGTGTTTCTTCTCTCCACACAGGGGCATGCCGAGGGACAAAGCACTGTACCTTACCTGAAAGTTCAACACCTCTTCTTTCCACTGAGGAATTCAGGGAAGTCTTTTCACAGTGGATTGCCTTGTACACTCAAGGCAGTTCTCCATTTGATTAGAAAAATACAAGTTGCTAAGCACTTAGGACCATTTGAGCTTGTGGGTCACCCACTCTGGAAGAAATAGTCATGCTTCTTTATTATTTTTTTAATCCCTTATGGACATTGTTTTTCTTCTTCCCTGAAGGAAATTCGGACCATTCAGATTTTATGTTGGTTTTTTGCTGTGAAGTGCTGAGCTATAGTATCTGCCTTAGCAACTGTAGATGTCTCGGATAAGAGTCCTGGATTTTCCATTGGTTTTCATAATGGGTGTTTATATGAAACTACGAAAGACTTTTTAAATGGCTTGATGTAGCAATCATAGCAAGTTTGTAAATAGCATCTATGTCACACTCTCCTAGAGTATAAAATGTGAATGTTTTTGTAGCTAAATTGTAATTTGAAACTGGCTCCTTCCAGTTTATTGATTTCACAATAGGGGTTAAATTGGCAAACATTCATATTTTTACTTCATTTTTAAAACAACTGACTAATAGTTCTATATTTTCAAAATATTTGAAGAAGAAGAAAAAAAGTATTCCCAAATGATTTTAATTTAAAAACAAATTGGCTTTGTCTCATTGACCAGACAAAAAGAAGCGAGTGTTAAGGGAAGCGCAAACACATTTATTTTGTACTGCGGAAAAATTGCTTTTTTTGTATCACTTTTTGTGTAATGGTTGGTAAATGTCATTTAAGTCCTTTTATGTATAAAACTGCCAAATGCTTACCTGGTATTTTATTAGATGCAGAAACAGATTGGAAACAGCTAAATTATAACCTTTACATATGGCTCTGTATTATTGTTTCTTCATACTGTGTCTGTATTTAATCTTTTTTTATGGAACCTGTTGCGCCTATTTATGAAATAATAAATATAGGTGTTTGTAAGTAAATTTGTTAGTATTCGAAAGAGGTTTCTTTGATGTTTTAACTTTTGCTGGCAAAAAAAAAATTCACGCTTGGTGTGAATACTTTATTATTTAGTTTTTACAGTGACATGAATAAAGGCAAACCTACTTTTCATTTTAGCAGCCAATTCAAGTAATCAATCCTTATTTCTACATTTCTTTGATGGATGCAAACAAAAAACTGATATTTAAGAACTTTCTTTTTTCGTACAGTGAAATTGCCCTTAAAGTCACACATGCTCCAAGACTAAACAGATGGGGTCTCTATCTGAAAAGGTTGCTTCTTGGTTCTCAGCTGGTTTGAGTCAATTCCGTAAACTCTCCGCCTCCAAAAAAAAAAAAAAAAAAAAAAATTGAAGTCGGATCAACTCCTCACACTGCATGCTTTTCACAAAATCCAGAAAACATTTAGGAATTAAAGCAGGGAAGGAGGAAGCATGCTGTCAGGACTATGTCTACAAGTGAAAGGTGAGTAACCAGAAAGCAAAATGAAAAGGAAAGCATTGAAAGCTATCGCTAGAAATTGAGACGCTTGCTGTCTCTGGTGCTTCCACCAGCGACTTCTGTTTGGGGAATTCCAAGAGAATTCCGAGGGTACCAGAGATTTGCTAGGAAACCAAAAACATTGAGAATCTGGCTGAAGGGTGGCATAGCTTTTGCATCAGAAAGAGCGAGCCAGTGACTCTTTGACAGGGCATTGCGTTAAGGAAGCGAGTCTGGCTGGCAATCAAGATGGCTGGTGTCTCTTTCATGGAATGTGTGAAATAAACTTAGCAACTTTAACTACATACAAGTAGATGCATTGTGTAGCCCGGTCAGAATTCAAAAGACAAAAGGTATGCTTGCTTTGGAATGATTTTAGGCATTGTACAACCTTGAATCACTTGAGCATGTAATAACTAATAAATAATGCAGATCCAATGTGATTATTAAAATGACTGTAGCTGAGAGCTCTAATTTTCCTGTCTTGAAACTGTATAAGAACTCATGTGATTAAGTTCACAGTTTATTGTTTGTCTGTTTAGTATTTTAGAAATATACCAGCACTACTAATTACCTAATGTCTTTTATTTATTATGTTATGATAAAGTAAAATTTTCACTCGCATTAAGCCTAAACTGAGAAGGTAATTACCAGGATGAGAACAATCACCTTTTGACGTCGTCAGGCAGTGTGTACAGGGAAGTATGATGTTGTTTACAGCCTTTCTAGAGCAGATGTGCAACCAGGGTGGAGAGAGTGTTAAAACTCGATACAAAAAAAAAGTAAAAAATGTAAATAAAAGAAAATACATCGTAAATAAAAAGTATTACCATGCGTCACCATATTCTATTTGGATACCCATCAGCCTCTGAAGGACACCTAGTCAGATGACAAATCCCAAGAAAATTTTGTGGCAGGAGTGATGAGACATAGTAGGGATTCATGCTTGCCAGAGCCACAGATGTTCTTTCCGGAAGCAATGAGGATGCCCTCTCATCCACCTGAGCTCTCTTACTATCAGGTGCTGCTTGACCTCTCAGGGGGCCCGGGTAGCTCAGTCGGTTACGCAGTTGAGCATCTGACTTCAGCTCAGGTCATGATGATCTTGCGGTTCGTGAGTTCGAGCCCTGCATCCGGCCCTATGCTGTCAGCGCAGAGCGGGCTTCGGATCCTCTGTCCCCCTCTCTGTCCCTTCCACGCTCATGTGCTCTTGCTCGCTCTCTCTCAAAAATAAATAAACTTTAAGAAGTGAAAAGAAAAAGAAACCTCCACGTCTAAGGAAGCCAGCGTCCGGCCTGGGCACGACATCTTGTAGCTTGTGACTTGAAGGAACGGCGATGGCGCACACGGAGCTCCCCACTGTGGTGCTTTTCAGGATTCCTAGACCTCGAAAACAGTCTTTCTGGGAAATTCAGCGATACTACTGAACTTGTAGTATCTTTACCAAAATACCAAAAGTCAACATTGTAACTAATTAGAAAAATATAAAGTGCCCCAGTGCTTAGGAGAGGGTTAAACTGTGTCTGTAACAAACACAAGAAAGAATAATTCAAAATCCCAGTTCTCATGTCCAGTGGACAGTGGAAAACTGGTTAAGTAATGACTTCAAAGTAGTGAACATGGCAAAGAATGAAAGTTTGTCTCTGTGACTGTTTTCACCTGTCGCTTAAAGGGACCAAACGCAACGCATCAGGAAAAGGGCGTGAGTGTTCCACGGACGGCCACGGCCACAGGACACAGCATGTCCTGGTTTGGGTTCATGACTAAGATTTTGTTTTAATTTACAAATTAAAAATTAAAAATAAGCGCATGAACAGCCAGTTCCCTTTTTCCACCGATCTCTCGCCTTTTGCAAGAGAGTTGCCCTACTCATTCGAAGGGACAAATTGATTCGGTTGTATGAAATTGCCAATATTTGACCTTTTACCTATAAAAAATAGCAATTGCAAATGGTTCCACCCAATACGTTTCAGAACTCAAGGTGATGGGGTTTGGGCTACAAAATTAGATACAATTTCACATGAAATTAGAAGTTCCTTACAAAGCCCTCGGGGGAAATACTCGAAGAAGCAATCACTTACGTGTCTTTACAAGGTGGTCCACTTGCGATCAGTCACGGACAGCTACATTAAATTAAGGATATTTGAAATTACCAGATCCCAGTAAAGCCCAAGAAACATCCTTAAAGTTTTTATTACACGTAGATGGTCTCTTAATGTTTATTTGTGGACACTTTATTTATTTCACATCTCTCGTTTTAAGGTTAACAGTAGAAACACAGAAATTCATTTCTCGCTGATGACTGAACTGAAATAAGGGCAAAGCAAGATACAGAATTCATATCATAAGTTTAACACCCAAATGCTTATTGTACCGAGTCACCTGATGGGTGAATTCGTGAGTCAGTCACCCCACAAATTTCTCCTTGTTTTCCTAAAATAGAGTAATCTCCTAACTTCCAAAGCAACTTGGAAAGCTGTAGCACATAGTAGGTGCACAATAAAGGCAATGATATGTGGCAAGATCAGTGAAACATTGCAGATTATCCTCAACAGGAATTGTATGATGTTTACTTGGTGATTTAAGAGCTCTTTTAATATAGAAGGGCACTAGATATTGCAGACAAGCATTAAGAGTGATGAAGAATGGAAAATTTTCATGAAGAAATCTAAGCTTACAGAAAGAAAGAATTTCAAAATGAGTTGTGCCTTTTTTTTTTTGTCTACATTATTGAACAAGAGTTTCTAGTTACAAAAGTAAAACGTAGAAGACAGTAGTCACATTGAGAAAACCAAAAGCAAAGGAGAAAATGGGTGCTGGGCAGGGAGGAGTGTGGAGTGCAGGAGAGAAATTTCAGGAGACAAGTGTATGGAATGCTAAATTAAAACATCGATGAACAGTGTGCTGAATTTTCTTTTTCTGATTGCCAAGTGCTAGTATGGCTTGATGAAATAAAAAGAAGACCGTATGTCTTGGACTCTGCCTAAATTATGCCAGGATAAGAAGAACTGGTCCTAGCTTTCAGGACTCTCAAGAGAAGATTTGGAACCAGAGACCATCAAGGAATAGCCTTCTCCAACAAAAGTTTCCAGATCCTTACACAAGAGTTTGCTTGGAGAAGGGGCATGGGGTGGGGGGTGGGGGTGGGGGAGGGCTTCCTGATATCATCAGTCTCTAGAGAGAGGAAGGAGGGAGGGAGGGAGGAAGACCCGTGAACCAACATACACACACTTAGCGGTACACGCTCATAACAGAGACACTAGACTTTGCCTTCTGATTTCTGACTTCGTCAACATTTTGCCGTGTGTACCCTGAACCAGACTCCACTGTCGAGGTAAGAAGTGAAGACGAAGTTCTTGTTCTGGGGCCTGGAGACAACAGACGACAAAGTCATGGTATAGTTCCTCGCTGGTCACAGTTGTGCCTCATTAAAGGAGCCCACCAGCATGAATTCAAGGACTGTCATGATTTCACATTTTATTAACAACTTGCTTCCAAAGACATTGGAAAATGAAATTTCAATCCCACTGACCTGAGGCCGGAAAAACAAAACAAACCAAAACAAAAAACCAAAGAGTGGCTGAAAAATAAAATAGAAAGACGTACCATGCAACCCAAAAAAGAAAAAATTCCTTCTAAAGAAAGACTACACAGCCCAAACTCCAGTGTTTTAAAGGCTGCAGAGTCCCTGTTTGACAATTGTGTGTTTACAATAAGCCTAAGCATAATTGCTCTGATGGGCTGTCAGGGAAAAGATTAATTTGGCAAAGATTAGTATTGACTTGCTGTTTATTAAGGCTTTTAAACAGCTGTATCTGGCAGCTTTCCTGCAAGTGCCTGTCATATCTGAAAATCAGCCTCACACCCCGGTGCTCCCCAGCTGTTACTAAACAATCTTCTACCACTTTGAATGTCTTTCTCCAGGCCAAACAGCAAGAGCAAACTATTGCCAAATTAGCCCTTTTCTCCTCCTGTTACTTTTTTTTTTTTTCCTCTGAGGTGGGGGTGGGGAGCTTCTGAATGCTGAAATGTCAGCCCTTGGCCGATGGCTTGGCTGATAAGAGCTGCCGGAAGTCAGTAGGTGGTTTGGGTGCAAGATGAATACATCCCCC